AAATGAATTTGCAACCAATAAAATAAATTTGAAAATGCTAATTTCTCATGAATTATGTTAAATTCTCACTTCTCAGAATGTGACATAGATTCAGTGTATACGATTCGGCCACTCAATTTCATACTTTTTTGGTTATTAGCATTTACTGTGGAGATATTCTGTATCAATCTCTGAGCCTGGGACTGGTGTCTAAGGAAGATAACTCATTGACCCAACCTTTGGGGAGTTCACAATAACTGGAGGGAAACAAATGATTACAATATGATGTGATCATTTTGGCAATATAAAATCGATACTGTGGGAACACAAAAGAATGACCTTTGTATATCCTTCAGAAATAAGACAATATTTTAGGTGAATTTTGAAAGATGAATAGGAATTTAATCAGAAGGTAAAAGGTCAATCTTGAATATGAATTATGAGGGACTCTTCTATCTGTCATGGAGAATAAGAGCTAACTTGGCCAGGGTGCATGCCATAAAGCCATAGTTGGTGGAAGTGGTCATTGGCCAAACAAAAAATTAAATTGATCAAACAGGAGAAGACTCAGAGGTGAGTAAGTAAAGGATGCATATATAAATAGGGCATTAGATTCTGGGTGTAGAGATGGAGATCAAAGGGGCTGATTAAATGAGAGTTAAAAACAGAGGGTGAACCAAACAAGTTGGAAGAAAACTATTGAAAACAAATATCTAGAACAGGTATTAATTTACATTATTAGATTTTATCTTTTCATAAAATCCAATAATTAAGAAATTGTTTAAGTCCTTTTTCAATGCAGACTTCATAATCCAAGAGTAGTTTCTAAAGATTAATAAAGACACTAGAGAGAAAATTAAAATACATATTTTTATTGTTTTTGGTTTATATTGAAGTGGAAGCTAATGGATACACCTTCTCAAGTCCTTAGATGGGAGGTTGGAATCAAAGTAAACACCACTGATAGAAGCAGCCCCAATTTTCTCTTCAGCATGACTTTATCTGTGTAAGTGTGGCTGGAGGTTTTTGTTTTGTTTTTCTTTTTTAAAAAAGATTCTTGAAAAAATTTTTGAAGAAGCCCTATAGATCATATACAGATCAACTAAAACCTTTCTTCTGTTTATATGTTGCATCAGTGACTAATTTCAGAAAAGGAGTTTGCAGTTAAATTTGTTGGAGCACACTACATCTGCTCAATTTCCGTCAGAGTCCAATGGTGTTGCCAAAAGGCTGCATTGGAATTATAAGAGAATGTTCTCTAGACTCGAATAGATGTAGGACAGGCTCCATAATAGAAACTCTTGGGTCACCAAATCTGGCAAGAATGTGCCTGAAAGACTGTATCACAGAAAAATAACTGGATTTGGGTCCAAATATAACAAAATATCTCCAGAGTTTTTAAAGAAAACAACTTAATCTTAAATTCGTTTGAAGAAAAAAAAGTTAATGGGATTACAAGGATGTTGATTTCTTTTAATAAAAAAGTGAGTTGAAATTCTTGAGAATGGCAAGAAAGATCATGGAAATACAGTGCTTATTATAAGGATATTTAATAAATTTGAGATTTTGAATTAACAGAGTGATATTCTTTGGGGTCATGACTTTGTTTGAGAATCTGATGAAAATTGTAAATTTTCTACCAAAAAGTGTATACCACTACAGACACACATTAAATTTGGCATATATTTCCAGGGATTCAGCTATCCCCATGAATTCTTTCTTGAACTTGAAGTTAAAGAAAAAAAATATATATATATATGAAACTTCTGCCATGGATAAGAAATATTAGGACTATTTCTAGGAACAAAAAGGAAGAAGATAACTTTTCTACATGAATCAAGTGGTGACATTTCATTCTTTGAATGAATTGACCATGACATGCAGCTTCTTTGGGAGAGCTCTCTTAACTATTCTCTTTCAACATCATCTGCTAGCCCACTTTGCGCCTGGAAAACACCCAATCACTCTTTATCATATAGATTTCTTTTATTTCCTTTACAGTGGTGATACAAAAAGAATTCATTATTTTTTCTGCAGTTTGTTCCTACCAGAATGTAAACCAATAAAGACCTTTTATCTGATGACAGCTAGATTCCTAGTATCAAGAGCATTAGATAGTATATAGTTCTGCCTTGTAATTATTTTTTGAATAAATATTTCACCATTAAGTAGTCTTAAAAATTGTAAACTACCCATTGGCAATATATAAAAATTCATGTGAAGTCAGTCATTTGGCTGGATATATATTACTGCAATATGATAAACTTCTACAGCATGCTTAAGCTTCAAATGACTAATGCTTCATTTAGCTAATTTCTTGCTCCTTTTTCAGACTTTTGTCATATATTTTTGGAAATGTCTGCTGATATGCAATATTTCCAAGTCTGAATTGTCGTAGGAAATGGCATATTGTAGCAATATTTTAGTCACAAAAATTGATGCAAGCTCTTTTGGGTATAGTGTGACTTGGGTGGGAATGCAACTTGGTTTTGAACTGCATGTGTATGTCTGATTTTATCAGCAAACTTCTTGCAGCTCTGAGATATTCCTAAGAACTCTTCCTCATTCATTCTGTTGCTTCAGATCTCCAGGAATAATGTTTCAAGTTTGTCACAGTCATGACAGTGTGTACTCTTGACAAGGTACAATTCTTTGTCTTCTTTTATATCATTTCAAGTCATGTTTAACCGTAATTAATATTCATGAAGCTCATTTGGCACTTAAAAACTGGGCTTCCAAGGGGATACACTTTATGACAACTAGTTTGACATTTTGGAGACAAGACAGACCCTAAACAAGATTAAAATTCTAAGCCTGATGAAGCAGATCAACTAAAAGGGATAAACTGCATAGAATAATTTCAAGATGTGAATCACATAAATCAATTTGGTCAGTCCAGTTCAAAGGAGGATTTTCTTTCTATTCAACTAAATAGTAGAGTGAATAGTTTTCTATTATTTACTTAAGAGATTTTCATTAACCAAGTTCATTATTTCTTAGAAAAATAATGAAAATGGTTTAGTGACATTGTTTTTTTTCTTCCATATACTACAATTTTTCATTGTGTATTTTCTAGTACAATTTTTCAACAAAGAAACTTTATTAAGCCCTAAGCCTTCTCTGAAGCCATTGATCATGACAAATTATTAGTTAATAGTTTTATGCTGAATAAGTTAAATTTTAGAAACCCAAACCATTCCATAAGCTTGAGTTCAGTGTTAACTGAGACTGAAGGCTATTTAGTGACTGACCCTGGATCTTTTTAGGGATAACTCTTTCTTTCTAAGCTATAAGCAGTCAGTGATTTAGACTTTATATCATCCTGTGGCACTCAAATTTGAATCCATGCTCTGTGACTCTATTACTGGGCTGGCCAGTTTATAGCAGTTGTTCTTGTGGTTCACTTGTGATGATGGAAAAGGTGAAGTAGACTTTATCTCAAAATGTTTGATAGTATCACAGGAATTTAAATTGTGTATGTGGCAAAAGATATAATAGTAATACTTACCTTATCAAGTCAGCAACATGCCAGTCTTGATTCTGTTTTCAAATATATTCTATTTCTAAAAGGCTTGGCTTTTAGAAACTCTAAAATGGCTTTATTTTTCAGAATTGCTTTTACTTGAATGAATGCGTTATATTTGCTGTCAGTTTCATTCAATTTAACATTTTACAGAAAATTTGGTAAACCTAAGTGCTAAGAAGAGCCGATAAGTTTTTTTTTTTTAAATCTATTCTTTAAGGAAAATAATGCTCAAGAATTATTATATGTAAAACTTACCTTAATAGGAGAATAGCTAGTTTTATTAGGAAATGAACATTGCATAATTTTATGTAGTTACATTTTAAAAAATGATTCTTGTGGTTGAAAATTTGTAGTTCTGACCTTGTTAATAATTCTCAAATAATACCTGTTTCTTCTTAGGAGTAAGAATAAAAAAGAAGTTAACATAATTTGTGAAGAAAAGATTTCGTCAGAGATAACACTGTTAATTATAAAGGCAAGATGACTCTGAGTAGAGAGATAGGAATCAGAACTTTTGAATTTGTGATGAATCATAACTAATCACTCATTATTCTATGTGTATAATGCATCTGCTGTTATTTTCTCTTTTATTTCTACATATTTAGTGATGCTCTGAAATACTATCATTTTCTGAACTTGTAGATATAAGTTTAGGTACAAGTAATAAGCATTGTGATTCAAGTGCCACAAATACAAATAACACACAAACACAATCAAACCATGAACATATTATTATTTGAATGACATGGAAGTTTGTCAATGATTTGGTTAATTCAGAAAAATACCAGTTACACAGTTCACTTACGGTTAAGAGTTTCTGAGTTTGGATTTCTTTACATCTTGGATAATATGGATGATTTAAAAATACTTATTATTTCCCTCATAAAATTTATTTTATATGTTGGAGATTAAGAAAAAACAGTATCTAGATTAAGTTCTTATCTATTTCAGGCACAAAACGGATGATACTTTAAGAAAAATGTTTTTAAACTATAAATGTTTGATGCAAGTCCCATTTTTAAACTTGTTACCCGCTTCTAGTGACAATAACGTTTGTGCTTGCTCCAGCAGCACATACACTATAAATTATCTATGGGGTGATAAAATCTTACATAGGAAACAATAAGTTGCTTTACAAGCTTCACATGGCACAAATAAGCTGTGATTATCCATATTTTGCATGTACACGATACCATATAATTATTTTAAAAACAAATAATGAAGATATTCTATTAGCGGCCATCTACTTAAAAATTAATTCATTTCTGAAATCGATGTGATGTTCTTTCCTTATACAAACCCGATATACAAAGTACTGAGTTAGTATTTTTGTGGTATGTGTACTATGACAAGTGAAACTCCTAAATTTTCCAACACTCTTTTTAAAAGAGAAGACAACACTGCAAAGGACCCAAAGTGGTCATTAAATCATGCTAACGTTATTGTAGGCAAAAAGAAAACAAAAAGAAATTCTTATTAAACCTTATCAGTTTCAAGATTGGATTTTTAAATCCTACAATTTTGAAAGGGAGATATTTGAGAAGGTGTTTTACTTGTGACATTTAAAATAAATAACATTTAAATATTATCATTTCTTTATACAGTGCTTTATTTGCAGTATTATGTCCTATTTTTAAAGAAAATGTGGAATGACATGTGTTAAACTAAATATTTATGACTATTTAAGATATATAATATTTAATATAGAATATATTTTTAAAATTGCAAAATCAATCCATGTTAATTTCTATAAAGCTGCCTTAAGGAAATCTTTTTAATATAATGTATGGAAAGTTAATCTAAACTCAATGACATGTTTGCTATATAGATATATGTTTTGTAGAATAATGAACAAAATATCACTAAAGTTTTTCTTTTTTTGGATACATTATTTCTGCATGTACAATGAATCAGAATAACAAGGGGTTACCTTCTCACTCACTTTCTGAGTTGGTTATTTATACATTTGAAACCAAACAGACAAATCCCAAGTCTCTTCATCATTTTCTTTTGCATAAGCCCTGACAATAACTCTTCAGAACTCAAAATCTAAATCTACAGGACATTGTAGAAATTTTCTTTTTTTAAGAGTATTTATGTGCTTCATGTACTTTTAGATACAAGGAATTACATTATTGCAAGTTGTGTGTAAAATAAAATATATTTAATAAATAATATATTTCATTAATAAAAACAAAAAATGTGTTTGGTGTATAATATATAAGTAATTCAACCCATATTCAAAATTTGTGACTCATCTGCATCTTTTGCAAGCAACCATATGGGCTGCTTCCTGTGAACAAAGTAACTTGGCTGCATTGAATCAGTTTTTGCCTTCAACGTCAGTGGTCCATTGAACTTGGGGTAAAATAAAAGCTCTTATGTAAGATAGCTGCTTTGATTTTCTTTTTAGTTTATAATGATTGTGTAAGGGCGTAAGTCAAGAAGACTCTTCTTGACTATGCTTGAAAATTGACTCAAATAATTACTGAGATTAAATTTCAATCTATTTTATAAAAAATATTATGTACTTTCACAGAAGTGAAGAAATACAATTGCACAATGGTGGTTACAATGATAGAAATACATATTGCCAATAAAATGTTAGCAAGAGATTTAAAAATGACTGTACAGCACCGCATCAGAGAATTCTGTTAACAGCAAAATGATTAATACTATTTTTCTATACAAATGAAATCGTTTTTAGTAATAAATGGGGAAAAAGCTTTTTTTTTTCCTTAACCCTAATTCCTACCAAAAATATTTCCTGATGTGGAGCAACAGACAGTAAAAAAAAATGACAGTTTTAATAAAAAGAAAATGACATTCATGCATGTAAGCCAACATTAGTCTCTGACTCTAATATAAGGCAGATCATTAATCTTTTGCAAAACTATGACTTTAGCCACTTAAAGCTCTTTTTAGTGCTTTTGATGACAATGACATGATAGGCCTTGTAAATTCAGGGGTTAAGATGTGTTTTGAACACATTAATTTAGACAGACTCAGCAGACTTTTGAAACACCAAATTTATAATAAAAAATGTTCTGTTTTGGAGAAATGATGGAAAATTATAATAAAAAAACAGAAGGGCTCCTATTGAGTTTATCACAAATGACAGTGTTTAGATCAATGAAAATAAATCACATGTGCCTATGTGTCATCCTCAGTCTTAATGATGTGGAAAAGGGTGACATTGAACAAGACCTGGTGGCCATTGTTCCAGGCATAAAGAGCTCTATCTCTTGCATTGTAGTCAAGCATGGATATGTGAAAGTATTGGTTATGAAAGGGAATGTCTGTGTATTCATATGTGGAGGTTTTGGTGGAATATGAATAATACACCTTAGCTCCAGTTAAGTGGGAGTTGGTGACATACAGTGTCCCACAGATCATGAAAGATTCCCCTGCACTTCTCTTGGGGTAGCCAGTGCTCCAGCTCTTCATCACTTCCAAGGTATCTTGGTTAAGTTGGCTGATGACAATATTGCCTGCATTCTGGTTAGTTGCATATACAGCCCACAGCCCAATTTCATCAGCCATTAGGTCGATGTCAGAGAATCCACCCCAGGTGTAGGGGTAAACGTTGTGAAAACCAGCATATTCCAGGCTTCGTTGAGCAAGCACTCTCCCCAAATCGAAGCTATACTTGATGATAATATTACTCTGGTATTTGTTAAAATAGAGTGAGCCATTGTAGACAACATGGTTAGTTCCTGCCCACTTGAAAGGGAGGTTGTATGTCCTTGATTCAGCCCCACTGACAAAGTCTGCAATTGACTTGTACTCACGGACAATTTTATTGTTAGTATAACTGTCCATATACCAGACCTGAGAAGAAGGAAAAAAACAAAAGGAGTGACTCAATTTTCTACTTTTAAGATAATTCCAAAATAAAGACAGTCAGCACATATTAATATCATGATTCTTAGAATTGGAAGTAAATCATTTACGAATGACCTGCAGCAATGTGATAGTATTACAAGGTTTTGTAAAAATATTGAATTTCTCTATGTGGAAAAGAAGCAACTGAGTTTATTGTCTTGGAGTTGATCTGCTTTTTATTTTTTTTTGGGGGGGGGGTCTTCTTTGCTTTATTTTTTGGCTATTTAAACCATATCACTCAGTGGACCAAAGCATAGGCTAATGTAAATCAAATCACCTGGTGGATCAATGTGATCATTGATAACTGACCAAAATACAATCTTCAGCAAATTATTTTTATTCCATCCCTTGCTTTGAAAAAATGGTATAATTTCATATTTCTACTCATTTCTACTTCATGAGTACCACAGAAATTTCTGGTAACTTTTGTTCACTGGATCAGCTTAAAGTTACAACTACCTTTTGACAAACCTATTAATGTACATATACATAGTGCAGACTTTGCCAACTTATGAAATGCCCCCCAAAAGTTTCAGTGTTATTTCTTTTAAAATTATCTCTAGATTCCAGGGGCATATTAGTTTATTTAGAAAATGGTCAGCTCTTGAGTCTTTTTTACTTAGTAATGTTGTTTTCAAACTAAAGAGCATGTTTTATAAACAATACACAGAAAACATTGCACACTAGCAATCAGCACATTTCAGCCATAAAACAAGACTAAAATCAATAAAAATTGGACTTTTTGTACTGGTGGATTATGAGATAGAACATTTTACTAAAATAAACTTGATATGTATTTTTAGATAGTAGTAACAAATGGAAAATATTTGCAAGTGATGTTAACACTTTTCAAGTTGAAATTAATATCCCTGAAGAAAACAAATAACCCAGAAGAGAACAGTATAAATAAAATATAACTCTAAGCAAAGAAACTTGTGGAGGCAACATACTCTATTATTTTTTTCAGATGCTAAAGGATCTGTCATCCAAGCGCCAAATCGAGTTCCAGATGTCTTGACTGTCACAGGGCCTGTGATTTTCATCAACTTGCCACATGCTGAAATTAGAAAAACATAAATATGTTGGGAAAACCCAGTAAATGATTCCAACACACACACACACTCTTACCAAAAGCAAAGGAAGTGATCATAAAACAAGACAAATTCGTGGGATTAATATCCCATTTCCCAAATCAATGATCATTGGTATTGGTTGGGTATGAATACAACAATAAGTTGAACCATGAGTGGTTGATTTTTCAATGCTCTAAATCAAAGTACGGAATTTTAAGTGGGCAAAGATTTGAATAATTTGGGAAACCATTATCATTTTATCAGTATGAAAGCTGTTTCTTTTAAGAAGTCAGAAAAATCAAATGAATTGCCCTCGGAACTGTGCACCTGATCACCAATATCCCCAGTCTCTCCTTCCAACACCTTGTGACCGCTGATAACTTATAGAAGTCAGAACAAACTTTATAAGCTGATTTTTAATTTGTGTTCATGCAGATCCCATGAAGAAATTCTAATGCAGTATAACAATAAAAAAATTCCACCAGTCTTCCAGAAAGAAGTAGAGTTTTGAAGAACAAATGTATTGGTTATAGGACCTGATAAACATCCAAAGAATGAAACTTCAAAATCTCAAGCCCTAAACCCCAAAGTCACATATAATAAAAGATGTAGAAATGAAATAAATAATGAAAAATATTATTTCATTGAAAAAAATTATAATATTTTTAACATCTTAGCAATGATAACTTCCAAAATATCAAAACCCCACCAAACAGAAACCCAGAAATTTTTGTGAGATTTTTAATTTTTTACCATGAGACTTTGTTTATTTTGCAAGTGTTTTTTAATTCTTTCACCATAATTTCCTCATGTTTTTACATTACCATATCTGTTTTCTAGACTTTTAAGACATTGAATAGAATTTGTCTTAAGTTAAAAGGGAAAAAACATTCTTTCTGCTGAATAATATCACATTTAACTTAAAAATTATGAATGTTTTGAATATTAAGAATTGAAGCTCCTGGAATCAAGGTCACATTTATCTGTAGGTACCAATATATCCCTGAGATCTAAATAGGAAAATGTCTCTTATAAACCATAACAAGACTCTCACCTCAAAATAAAGCATTCTGAAATGTATACAATGATTTCCATATTCAATAGCTTTATAGTATCCAGAAAGCCAGGGTTTATAGAAATGATAAACTAAATAGTTTACATTCAGAAACAGGTTCTAATACCCATTTATACCAAAATAACAAAACTTGAAACCCAGTACCCTGTGCAGAAATATGTTCTATTCCTAGTCCATCATAAAACCACCATTTTTAAAAACACAGATCCTGAGACTTCCAGTAAATGCTAGCCAGAGCTATCATCTGAACAAAGAAAACTCCAGTAAGATTAGCTTTAACACTTTATTTGAATGGAGGATATGATTCAAACTGAATCAACAAGGGCTCCTGGGGTTGCTGGTACATTTCTGGGAGTATGGTAACACGCACTTGGTTTCCATGGAGTGTGTAGCCATAGTTGTGTGATTCAAATTAGCTTTGACTTAGGCAGAGAGAGATCTCAGACCCAGCCAACGTGGCTCTGTTAAACAGCAAAGTTTTAAAGTGCACATTTTGAAAGGAAATCTTACTGCCGATAAATGTTGACGATTGGTCTCAGTTTATCCCATGTTTCTTTTTTTCCCCCCTTTCATTCTTTTTTTCACTGTTTTGGGGTTGTTTGTTCTGTTTATTCTATCTCCTTTGTCAATTAATAGAATTGATAAATTTCTAGTTTCTGTTGGCTCCTCCTGTCCTGATTAGGGAAGAACAAATATTCTAAGCCAAATCAAGGACAAAAGTAATTCTAGCTAAAACTTATTTTGGCCCATTTTTCTATATATTTTCCTCCTAAGAATGATTTGTAACTGGCAGGATACAGAGCTGTGCAGTTAAGAAGATGATGCATGATAACATATTTTGCACCATTACTTTAGTAATACTACAAATTTAGTCATTTCTAGCATTTCAAGAAATCTGAATGGAAAGTATTTTCCCCCTTTGTGAAAAGAAAATTAAATGTGATGGCATTGTTATATAGTGAATGGCTTTATAATTTCCTCAGACCTGATAAACCAGGCTAATTATTCAGAAGAATTTGTGACATTATCTATATTAAGTATTAAGGCCCTCCAGGGTTAAACCTATTTGGAATACATCAGTTCAATTTGCTATAAACACATTAAAAATATATAAGTAAATCACCATCAATTTGAACTAGAAAAAAGTTAATGGAACTAGTTGAGCATATGATCATAATATATAAGAAGTGAAAGTAATATGATAATTAATGTGGTCCTACCTAAATATTTCTAAGTAAACATGATTAGAGCATGAAAATTTCAAGTGTAAGTAGGTTGAGATAAATTGAAAGGCATATGCCTCCTTTCCTCCAAATACCACACAACTTAATTTTTTTCTTACACATGAGAAAGTAATTCTGACTTAAAATGATGGACTAAGATGTGCCTTTATCTCCTTTATCTTTTGTGATCATTAAAATAATAATAAATATGTAAATCAATGGATGTGTAACTGATGTAATTCTGCAATCTGTATATGGGGTAAAAATGGGAGTTCATAACCCACTTGAATCAAAGTGTGAAATATGATATATCAAGAAATTTGTAATGTTTTGAACAACCAACAATAAAAAATTAAAAAATAATAATAATAATAAAACATGAAAAAAAAAAACTAAGAAAATAGTATGAGAGCCATAAGTGGAGAAAAAGTTTTACCAAATTTCTAGAAGGTAGAGGTGATGCAGGGGTCATTAGAGTGTAAGATGTAATAACAAGCATCAGTGTCTATGCAAAGGAGAGGACAGCTGAGGAGGGAGAGGCCCTGCCTTGAAGACAGGTTACAGTAAGAGACTCAAAAAATAGGTAAAAAGTGCTGGGAGTGAGATAGAGCCCTAGAAACAAGGACAGCACTGAAAGCTGCTCTTAAAATCTATTGATTTTACTGGGTGTGGTGACCTACACCTGCAATTTCAGCCACTCAGGAAGATGAGATAGGAGGAGGGTAAGTTCAAGGCCAGCCTCAGCAATTCAGCAAGTCCCTGTCTTAGAAAAAAATATAAAATGGGCTAGGTCTGTGGCTCAATGGTTAAGCCCCCTTCTTGGTACCAAAAATAAATGAATGAATAAATAAAAAGATCTACTGATTCCATCTTCATCCCTACATACCAAATTGCAGAAGGCAGGTTAAAAAAGAGACTAGAAAATTGTGTCAATTACTTGCGAAGACTTTGAGTAACTAAATAAGTATGAGAGGTCCAGAACACAGGCTCCTGTGTCATGACAATGGTAATCTTCCTACCTAGCAATTATGGGGAGAAATGTCAACGCTACCTAAATACATGGAATTTCCATGGAGATTATCATTCAGATTTTAAAAATGTAATGGTTAACATAGGTGCCTAGGTAGGTTCAAAAAGTTAAAATGAGACTGATCAAGATAAATGTGCAAAAAAAAAAAAAAAAAACAAAAACAGGGTCCCAATGAAAGAGCCTAACAGAGCAGAAGAGACCCTGGTATCTTCAGAGACATCTGTACCTTGTGTACTGTGGACTGGGATAAAAAAGCACAAAACAGGTACTGCAAACTAAAAATATAGCTAAATTAAAAAAAATTGGTTTGTAGAAGATAAAATGAGGTATCCAAAATCATTAAAATTAAAGAGAAAATAATGAAAATAAGAAAAAAAAAACTTGGAGGCATATAGGTGGAATTTATAAGCTCCAACATCTGAAGAATAAGTATTAAAGAATAAAAAGGGAGAGGAAAACAAAAAATCGTTAAAGAAATTCTACAGGGAATTTATTTAGTTATGAAATCTAGATATTCAAGTTAAAAGGGCTTATCATATAAATTTAAAAAGATCTATTCTTAACAGAATTTCTGTGAAATGATAGAAGATTCAGAATAAATTCTAAGCCAACAAGAATTAGACTGAAATTGTTTCTTATCACCCATATTGAATGCCAAGAGATACGGATCAGAGCCCTTATATTTAGGAAGAAAAAACAGATAAAGATAAAATAAGGGTTATTCATCTATTTATTTATTTTTTTTTGGAACTGGGTATTGAACCTAGGGGCATTTAATCACTGAATTACTTCCCCAATCCTTTTTACCTTGTCTGACCTCAAACTTGAGATCCTCCTGCATCAGTGTTTTCAATTGCTGAGAATACAGGCAGGCATTTCTGTCATGCAAACTTTCCAAAAGTTCATCTACACTTCACTCATTTTTTTTTTTTTTTAGACACTACTTAATGAAAGGGTTGCAGGTGTAGCTCAGTGGTCAAGGCCTTGTCTCAGTATGCTTGAGGCCTTGGGTTCAATCCTCAGCACCACAAAAAGGGGGGAGGGGCAAAAAAAGAGGAAAACACAAAGTTACTTTAGGAGCTACCACAGCAAAACAAGTGAATAAATCAAAACAGAGGAAGATAAGATCAGGGAAATAGTGATTTCCTATCCAAAATGGCAGCTGTGTAGTGGGCCTTGAGAACATTTGATCCAGAATGGAATCAGATCTGAGGGGGAGGTTTCAGCAATGGTTATGGAGATATAAATCACTATGACCATTATGGAAAACAGTATGAATGCTACTAAAAAAATTAAAAATAAAACTAACATATGATCCAATAGTCCCACTAATGGCTATCCAACCAAAGGAAATGAAATCTGTATGACAAATAGACCTTTGTACTCCCATGTTCATTGCACCACTATTCACAATAGCCAAGAGATGAAAACAACCTAATGTCCATCAACTGATGAATGGATAGAGAAAACGAGGCATGGATATACCATGAAATACCATCAGCCATAAGAAGAATGAAATCCTATTATTTGCACATTGCAGCTAGACTGTAGATCTTTAAGTGAGTAAGCCAAGCACAATAAGCCTTGTTTCACTCGTGTGGCATCCATAAAAGCTAACTGCATGGAAGTTGAAAGTGCATTGGTGTTTATCAGAGG